TAATTAGATAAAGAAGTTGATATTTGAAATATTTTGTATGTTTATTCTGCATATTTCCTTCTTTTTAAGAAAATGTTTTATAAGAGTTTACTTGAGCCAAAGTTCTGCACATTTTCTGAATCCAATAAATTCATGATCATCTAATGTGTATATCTACAGAATAAAATGTAAAAACACACATTCGACACCAAAACTCTTTACCATTCTTACAAAGCTTCCACCTTTTATCAAATTACCCCCTATTTTTATATTTGAGGTTGATTAGTGGTTATAAATGACTAAATATGTTTTAAAAAAAAGTTTGCAAAAGTCTTTTAGGCATCTATATGAGACTTATAATTAAGTAAATAAAATAATTTATTAAAGACAGGTTAATGCAGTGTTATCTTACTGTTTGCTAAGATCTTTTATCATATACATATCAGAGGCAGAAGGCCTTCACCCCATTCAATGAACAAACACACTTGGGGTGCTGACTTACTGAAGCTAACAGAAAAAAAGAGAGTGGTTAATTGGCCTTGCTGTGGCTGGAGCAGAGAAATAGATAAGGAAGGTTGCAGCAAATAAGGCTTAAAAGGTAAACTGATTTTCTCCTCAAGGACCTTGTAAGGCCAATCATGCACTTGAACTTGAACCTATGAAGAGCCAACAGAGTTATCTGTAAATGAGTAAAATGATTTGATTTGATTTTTAGGAAGGTAACCAAAGACAGCATTGATAACGCATGAAAGGAGATACATTAGCATAATCTTAGATAAGATAACAAGATTAACTTTAAGCAGTCATAATAATAATAACAAATAATAAGAAAAAAAAAGGAGTAGATTTCTGAGACATTTCAGTGATAAAAATCCTGTGTTTTGCAGATTTATTTAAAAACAATTTGAGAAAGAATGATGAAAAGAGGATGATTTGAGCTTGTGTCCTGGGGATAACCAGTTAAGTTATAGTTTCTGTTTATATGGCGCATTGCAATTTACAAGACACTCCTATTTATATTGCTTTCCATTGTTTCCATAATCTTGTGATAAATCCATAAGCATTCAATAATAAATAGGGTTTATGAAGCAAGCTTAAAAAGGCTCTGACCACAACTGAATCATTTCTTTGCGAGATGTGATACCAAGTCATGTTTTTTTTCCTTATGTAGTAGAGATTGACTTATGTTCTCCTCTTCAAAGATACTTGCATACCTGCATTCTCGTTGATTCTTCCCATGATATCAGACAAATGGACTTCCACATAGAGCTTATTTAATGGGCATGTGTGTTGTAGGTGATATCTGTGTGTTTCCGAAAAAATTTATACAGTACTTCTCAAACTTTGAGCAGATGGATCATCTGAGGATTCTGATAAAATGCTGCTTCAGACTTAGTGGGTTAGGATGGGGCCTGAAATTCTGCATTTCTAACAAACTCCCCAGGATGTCCATGCTGCTGGTCCTTGGGACACATTTTGATTAGAAAGGAGTTTGACTAAAGCCACACACACACACATCCAAGTGCCTTTGCTAAAGCAGGTGGGCCACTCTGAGACAATTTCAATGCACCTGATTTCAATTTTAAAATCCCAATCACTTCCTCACAGGTTTCAAGGTGGATATTACTGGCTGCCAAGAGTATACATATTTCCTGTGAGTAATATAATGAAATGCATTCCACTTCTGTCTCCGTTGGCAAGCATTTCCTTGAAGGTTTCTAAATATGTCAGTGGCCTTTTAAAGAGGAGATCTCATAAAGAACAACCTCATTGCTACTTGCCCATTAATATTTCTTTTACTGACAACTTGGATGCATGCCTCTTCATTTTGCAAGTATTTTAAAATTAAAATTATGTTCAAAGCATTTTAAATACTTCTGGCAATAACATCTGCCAGGAAGCAGAATCCTGAACTCTCCTCCCACAGGTCTTTTTTATTTTTTTATGATTCCGTATTCTTGTGGGTTTACTTAATAGTCCCAAATTCCACAATATAATCCATGTGTGCTGAAAGATATCTAAAACCATTGACATGTCTGAGGGTCTTAAGATTAAGCAACTACCAGGTCTGCCCTCATGTAATTGGGCATGTTTAGGTTGCTCTCAGAAATCCCCTCTTTCTTCTGCCTCCTCTTTCCCTCCACTCTCTCACAGTAAACCCATTTGAGGCTCAGACCAGTTTCTCCAGGAATGTTTTTTTTTTATTCCCACAAAAGTCCCTCAAGTTAAATCCCAAGAGATATAATAGAATAATACCTCTTTATGTGCATGACAGTGGTTTGACCTTGAAAGCAGCTGGTGATATGTATGAGATTCTAAGCAAGAACTCAGAGCCACCCCTGAGAAAGAAAGGCTCATGTCCACTGTGTAGGCATTAAGAATCCTACTGTCCCCTATATGCTGCCCTGCTAATCAGTGCTGTCACTAATTTCTCCACATGTTCTGAAACCTTTGAGCTGGACGGCTCATAAAGAGTATGCTGTCTAACCTCCTATTCAATTCTGGGACCTTTAACACAACATCCTTGAGATTCATTCAAAGCACCAGGAGTCCTTCCTGAAGGGGTGAGACCCTAGCTGGACAGCTCCAGCTGTTAAACATCTGCAGCTGTGAGTGGTCACTTGCATTTCCTCCAGCTGTTTCACACTCTTCCTACTCACCTCCTGCCCTTATGTGGTCTTGCCTTTTCAACACCACGATGCTAAGTCTCGTTTACAGCTTTCAGTATTGCAAATGGAGCTTCTCTAACATGACTCCTCTTCAGTGAAAAGCTTGATACCCATCAAAATGTAGCAACACCTGAACTTTGACATCTGCCATCAGACATCCCTCCTGGGATGTCAAGGTTGTCACTGTACTTTGAACGTCAGTGGCACTTCCTGTTTCAAACATGGTTCTGCTCTCCTAGGGAACTGGGTGAAGTCAGCCTCAGCAGGAAATATGCACCTTGCCCCTCCCGCTTTTCGATGCACTAATAAAGAGTTAAAGAACGTGCATCAGGCCACACATATTGCTGGAGATCCAACTGGGACTAGAGCCCAGGAAACTTGGCTCTCAGTCCGGTGTGCTTCTGACCACATGACCATCATTTCTGACGGCTGTGAATTCACATAGTACTCCTCCTGCAGAAACACGCAGGAGACCAGCACACCGGCCCCCTGGACATGCCAGTGCATTAAGTAAACGGGATAATGTGCATTTTCCAGGACTCCTGCTGCCACTCACTGTGAATGGGCCACGCTTTGTTCATGTCACCGGGACCCATGGCATTGCTGAGGGAGCTTTCCTTACAGATTGTCCTGATATTCGCCTTCTTGGCTCTTGTCTTGCCAGACACGGATTTTGCTCCCAAAGGCATCTTTCTAAGAAGGAAGGCACTTCTGACTGCTGGCGGCGGCGGCGGCGGCTGCTGCTGCTGCTGAATTCCTCATGGGCTGTGTGCTGTGCCCTCCAAAAGCTTCCTCAGAGGCTGAGCCACTCTCTGCTTAAAATTTCAACTATATGCTCCAAACCTGAAACAGATGTTTTCTTGGCGGCCGTCCTCTGCCATGGGCTTGTCCATTTGCATTACATACAAGGCAGGTAATTTGCTGCCTCGCTTTGTAGAGAAAGAAAAGGGGGATGGGGGGGGGTTGGAACAAAAGAGAGAATAAATATAGAAATTAGAGGAATAAAGCCACATGGAGACAAGAACTACCACTCGAGCGTCTATTATCCTAATACTGTATGCTATAGCTTGGCTACTACCGCCTTGCCTGGCATCTCTCTTGACTCCTGTTTGTGGCCACCCAGATGAGCTGTGCGAGCTGATCCTTGGATTTAATATCGGCTTGCTCTTTCCAGCTCCCATGTCACTTAGCATCTTAAAAAATGTACTCCTTGTTACTCAGGCATCTGTGTTTTCAAGAACTCACTTTTTTTTTTTTCTCTTTCTTTCTGTATGGGAACCAGGAACTAGAAACTATTAAATGGGGGATATTAACCACTCACTGCAAAGGTAGAAGCCCAGAGAAAAAGGGGGTTGTCTTTTATGGTTTGTACTTTGTAAGCTGTGGGTGTGACTCAATTTCCTCACCACCCACATAAAAAAGGTTGCCACCCAATCACTGTTTTTTTTTTTTTTTTTTTTTCTTTTCTTTTTCTATCCCAAACCCCTCCCCTTTGAATTTGGCTGGGAGAGACCCTAAGAAAGACTGCCCTTTCTGGACGTTGCCGACAGTGACATATAAAAGCTGTTAGCTGCTTCTGTAGCCAGCAGCATTTAAACCTTGCAGACTTTTCCTCTCTCAGAGTTTGTAATCAGGCATACTCCTCTTACAAGGGTTCATACTACAACTTAGCAAAGACTTTACATTTTTGGAAGAACAAAATATTCATTTTGGCATTGTGCAGAGGTAAGCTATTTAGCTCAACAAGTTTATTTTGCATGCATTGGTTTTAAAGTAGCTCACACTTTAAGAACTTTTTTTTTGTTTTGTTAACTTTTAGAAATGAGTTTGAAAGGTTATGGCTCGTTTATATTATGTTTCTCTCACTTGATGCCCAGATGTGTCTGGGAGATATCAGCACATTCTCTGCTGTTACTTGTGATGCATTTGTTTTTCCTCTTCCCTCTTCAGATGAGTTTTAATTTCTAAAGATTTCCATCTGAAGATAACATATGCATTTTGTGGTTCAGGAATTCGGGACAAATGGCTCTCATGCATTTTAGGGTTTGTAGTCGGACTGTTAAATTTTCTCTAGCTGGAGGAAATTCCTCTTAGGAGCCTGCCTCAAACACACCAAGCAAAATGTAGAGAGCCTACTATATCGGTTGTCTCCTGGGCTTGAATTCAATATGAGTTTGAATTTTATTTGTTTATTTATTTATTTGAGAAAACCAAAGCAAACAATGCTCCCAAATAATAACTTGTACCTTCATATTCTCTGGCCCATCTTTCCTCCCCCCTCTTCCATAGACCCTACTTCTGCCTTTCTGATTTAAAGCAAAGGGAGCTCGGTGCCTTCCTCCACCCTCAAAAATGACAGCAACCTCTGCCGTCAGCGGCGCCCTCCTGCTCTCCCTTCTCTGTGAGGCCGGCGCTGTTGTCTTACTCAATTCCACTGACTCATCCTCGCCAACCAATAATTTCACTGATATTGAAGCCGCTCTGAAGGCTCAGCTCGGCGCTGCGGACATCCCCAAAGCCAGGCGGAAGCGCTACATTTCGCAAAATGACATGATCGCCATCCTCGACTACCACAACCAAGTCCGGGGCAAGGTGTTCCCGCCGGCCGCCAACATGGAGTATATGGTAAGAGGACCTTTTCTCTGCGTCCTGGGTGAGGATGCTCTATTCCCTGGAGCATTAGAAGAACCTTAGGGGTGCTTGTATGGGATCCGGGGGCACTTTGACAAGAAGTAGGAATTTAAACCATAACCTTATGTGCCTGGTAAACTTAGGCTCTGTCCCAATGACAGCAAGAAAGGGGAGAGAGGGTGGTGGTCTCATGAGCTTTTGTGAGCTCCAGAGCCATCGATAAATCAGGTCCTACAGAAGAAACAAAGGTACCGAGGGAGGTGTGTTGACTGGTCACAGCTGAAAGGACCACTAAAAAAAAAAAAAAAAAAAAAAAATCATGGAAAATTTTGGGGGCTTTGTATAGTGAATAGCCACATGCCCCAGTTAAGATAATTATTGGAAATCTTTTTTTTTCTTTCTTTTTTTTTTTTTTTTTTTTTTTTCAAATTATAGGTTTGGCGGGCATGATTTATTGTCTGGGTAGGAGTCCTCTCCCGTTTTGGACAGAGCTCCTTCCCAGGCACAGGGAGCGGGGGACACGCCGCTCTGGCCTCCTGTGATTTAGGGCTTTGCTCACAGAGGAGCAGGGAGCCAGCGTGCACAGCCTTGCGTGTTGTTCCAACTTGCTCTGAGCACATTCTTTGCTCTCTCTTAAAATAGGCTCCCTGCACAGAGATCGTTTCACTTAGAATGTTTCAAATCGGGATGGCACGGAAAGGATAGATGCCTTTTGAATGTTTCTTTTTGGTTTTGAATTTATGCAAGGTTATGGTTTAAATTCCATCTAAGATGATGATGATGATGTGTGTGTGTGTGTGTGTGTGTGTGTGTGTGTGTGTGTGTGTGTGTGTGTGTATGGAGGGAGTATGTATGTGTGTGGATATACCACTAACAACTTTTCATAAGTGCTGACCTAAAATTTTGGGATTCTGATCAGATGGTAAATGCCATCTATTTTATTCAAGTTTATCTAATTGCAGCTATCACTGTCAGAGGGCAATCAAAGGCTTGCCAAGCGTAGGAGAGTCAAAGTTCTTAGAAGTGCAATTTACTCTATAAAAATGCGTGTTCCTTGGATGTTTAAAAGAAATACGAAAAGAAGAGGTAACCAGTCCTAGTGCATCAGGGGCGATACAGCCTCATGATTGAGACTGTGGATTCTGGAGTCTAAATGTGAGGGTTTAAACCCCAGTCCTGGAATACAAGCTGAGTGACTTCACCCCCTCATTCGTTCGCATCATCTCTAATGTGAAGATAAAGATATATCTGCCATACAGGGTTGTTATGAGGAATGTATAAGTTGAATGGTGGAGCAATTAGACCAAAGCCTACAGCAAAATAAATATTAACCTTCATGGGTTTCCATGAACTTCTTGTGAAAGGTGCCCAGCAAAAACTATTCAAGATCTAAAGTAGTAACAGTTATGCACATTGAATAGGTGTTTCTGGAAGGTGACATATAGACACAGAGAGAAGAGAAGCAAACATGTTTTCAAAATCACCTTCGATTATGGAGTCTATGCATAAGGTTCGATTAAACTCAGAAAGGTGTAATATCTAGATTGTGGGTTTAGGGCGGGGATCTCATCACTATGCCATCTGAGACTCAAGACAACCGAACAGGCTTTGGAGATAAGCTCATCTGGGTTGAAATCCTAACTCTGCTGCGTACTCTCTAGTCTTGTACATGTTACTTAGACTGTTGAGACTGAATTTTCTTATCTGTAAAATGGGAATGATAATTTACATAAGAACCCGTCAGTACATAATGCAATTCACTATTTTTATGATAAGGAGGGAAGAGGAACCATCCTGAAAAAAGGCATAGGTTGGGCACAACACCGTAGAAATAGAATGAAGAAAGCCACATTTTTCTAGTTATATCTCTCCCCTCTGATCAAGAATTAATTCATTCCACATGTTATTTACTTAATTGCTTCTATGTGCCAAGGACTTGGTTAATTGTTTCCACAGATGACCTCATTTGATAGCTCACATTTTCCCTGTGAGGTTAAGACTGTGGTCTTCCTTTTAACCTTGGAATCACTGAGGCCCAGAGAAGTTCATGAATAGGCTAAGGTGGTATGGGTTGTTATCCATATGGAACCAGATCACTGGGCTCAGCATTTAGGTCTGAGTAATTTCAAAGCCCATGCTTGTACTGGGAGCATCCATGCATTTAGATCTAGCGAACATTCTATTGGAGGAAACCCCCGGAGATATGGGGATATCTTTGTGTCCTTCTTCACATTGCCAGCTGAAATCCTATAGCATTCATATTTTATTTGACATTCCCTTTTTTGTTTTTGTTTTTTCAGATACAGGAGCTATTACATAAAATTTACTTTTTAAGAACCAGTTACAGTGCTGGTTAGATGACAGATGCTTTATAAATCCTCCTTAACTCAGGAAAGTTAATGAAAAATAGTAGTTAGAACAGTCAAGTCTTATAAAGCAACATATTACTGAATCAATTATCATGTTAGAAATTGCATTTATCTCTAGCCAGTATGGCTCAGTTGGTTGAGTGTCATCCCATACACCAAGAAGTCACTAGTTCAATTCCTTCCTGGTCGGGCACATTCTTGGGTTGCAGGCTAGCTCCCCAGTAGGGAGCATGTAGGAAGCAGCCAGTAGGAAGGGATCATGTTCTGAGTTTGCATCCATGTTTCTCTCTTCATCTCCCTTCATCTCCCATCCTCCCTCTCTCTCTCTCTCTCTCTCTCTCTCTCTCTCTCTCTCTTTCATAAATAAAAATGTATTAAAAATAAACACTGCATATAGTTCATTTGCATAAGTATTTATTAATTTAATACATAATTCCTATTATAAGCATTAGGGACACATTCATGAATAAAAGAGACACTCCTTAGCCATCTGGGGTGGGGAATCAGACAACAAACAAGATAAATATATAAAGTTCACAGTACATCAGAAGATAATTAGATTATGAAGAAACAGAAAGCTGGTTGTGATGAGGTTGTGACATTTCATAAGGTGGTCAGAGAAGAGCTCAGTGAGAGTATCCTGGAGAGAGGGGAGGGAGGGAGCCACACTGATAGATGAGAGATCATTTGCAGAGAGGAAAGAGTAAGGAAGGACCAAGGCCCTGAGACAGGAAAATGTATTAGTTCCATTAAAAAATGTCTTCCTTTTGTGAAACTATAGATCTCCCTGAATAAACTGACCCATGGAATTAACTCCATGGACCCTCTCAAGAAGACTCAGAGAAACTATTGAGGGTAGCTTGTAGGTTAGGATGTAAGTGACTTTTATCTCTAAGCTCAGGTGAAAAAATGAAGATCTCAATTGAACAGTTATCTTTGTCTTAACTTGTTCAACATTGATTTGGATTGTGATCCATTTGAAAATGAGTTCAGTTCCCAGCTCTACTCTGTATCTCAAAAACTTGGGACACTAAGCTCACTATGGCCACCAGCTATGTGTACAAATTGCCCTCATCAGTGAGTTATATCACCATGGGAGCCTCTTGGAAGGTGGTCTTCAGCTCAGGGCTTTTCCTAATGGCACCAGATTGATTGGTAATCTCTTTCATCCCAGCTTCTCTCTCGGAACCTTTTCCTATGCCATTTCTTCTTCTTCTAACGTTTTCTCATTAATGTCTGCCATTATCGATAACCCTACCCTTCAAGTTGTAATCAGAATGCGTGTCCTTTGTTGATATTTCCTATGATCAGAACCTCATTTGATTTCTCCTTTGAAGCACCATTAACTATATATTTATTATACTGCTCTCGTCGAAATTGAACTAGATTTAGAGTTATTTGTATATTTCTAAAAACTTCTTCATTTTAAGCTTTCAGGGTGCTAAGTCTATGTTTAGTCATCCTTTTATCTCTATTTTTAAGTAGCATTAATTTTGATATGACAGTCAACACTCCTATCCATGGGTTCTCCGACTATGGATCCTATGAGCAGTAGATCAAATATATTTGAAATAGCCTATTACTGACATGTACTATATTGTTAGACCTACAATATGTAGACTTTTTTCTTGTAATTATCCCTTAAATATTATAGTAAAACAACTATTTACATACCATTTACATTATATTAGGCATAATAAGCAACCTTGAGGTGATTTAAAATATATGGAGGATGTATGTATCTTATCTGCAAAGACTAGACCATATATAATAAAAAGATAATATGCAAATCAATTAAACTGCAGAATGACTGGTCGCTATGATGCGCACTGACCATCAGGAGACAAATGCTCAATGCAGGAGCTGCCCCCTCATGGTCAGTGGGCTCCCATGGGGGAGCGCTGCTCAGCCAGAAGCTGGGCTCACAGCTGGGAGTGCAGCAGCAGTGGCAGCACTAAAGATGTCTGACTGACAGCTTAGGCCCACTCCCCACAGGCTCCCAGACTGTGAGAGGGCGTAGGCCAGGTTGAGGAACGCCCCCTCCCCCACCCCTAACAACTGCACAAATTTTATGCACCGGGACTCTAGTCCTAGCTCATAAAAAGATAATATGCAAATTAGCCATCACTCCATCACAAAGATGGTAGCACACATAGCCACAAGATAGCAGTGCCCATCCTCTAAGCCCCACCAGAATCCCCAAGTCCTGGGGTGGGGAGCTCCTGAGTGGCCTGGCAGAATGCTTGCTTCAATGTCATGGCAACAAGGCAAGTGTTCTGTGCCCAGCCACGGATGGGCCTCTGGCCAGGCCGGGGTGCGGAATGCTTGCATAAGTAGAGAAGGAACTGGCAAGCTGAGCAGAGTCGAGTGGCCCCCAACTCCCGGGCAAGGTCAAGTTCCCGTGGCCAGAGAATAGTGTGACAGGAGTGGCTGGTGGTGGAGGCACAGGGGTGAAAGCTGGCCGCGAAAGAGTAAGGGAGCCCTTTATTGGAGTTCCTGAGAACAGGGAAGGAAGTCATTTGCATTTCCCAGCCTCCGATGGGCCTCTGGACCGCAGAGAGCCTCTGGGTAGCAGTAGCGGGTGTGGAACAGCCAGGCCCCAGTGCACGGGCTTGTGTGCAGGAC